GAAATCCACATTATACACTTATATCCGAAAACTTAAAAATTTTGGTATTATTAAACCAAAATCACGTCCAGGAAGGCCAAAACTTTTGTTTCCAAAAAAACGAATTCATCTTGGAAAATTAGCTAGCACAAGAAAATGTGCAACTAGCAAAGAAATTACTTTTACACTTAACTAAGCATATCCAAACCTTAATATTGCTTTCAGAACCATCCGTAAAAATCTTTTTAACCTAGGTTATCACGTTAGCATACCAATTTCAATACCAATGTTGACTGTTGCTGCCAAGGAACGCAGAGTTAAATAGTCAAAATCTCATCTAAATGAAAAATGTGAAAATGTCATTTTTTCTGATGAAACTACTTTTCAACTATTTTGTAATACAACATTGGTAAGATATAAGATTGGAGAAGAAAAACCATGACGTGCAGTTGTAAAACATCCACTCAAAGTTCATGCATGGGGTGCTTTCTGTGCACGCAGAATTGTGGGATTTCATTGTTTTACTGAAAATATGAATGGAGAACTTTATCGGGATATTTTAACTAAAAATCTTTTTACTAGTGCTACAAGGATCCTTAGAAGAAGGTGAACATTCCAACAGGATAACGATCCTAAGCACAAGGCAAAATTAATAACAATTCTTCTTCAAGAAAAATGTCCGCGAATGCTTGATTGGCCGTCCTATTCTCCAGATATCAATCCTATAGAGAACTTATGGGCTATAATGAAAAAAAAGGTAGAAAAAAGGTAAATCAACGTATAGCATAAAAAAAATCAGTTGGATTAAATGATTTTTTGTCAATTATTCGATCTGAATGGGAAAATCTTGATTTAGACCTCCTATCGAATTTATGTGCGGGTATGAAAAAACGTTTGAAAGACGTTATTGAAAAGAAGGGTCATATAATTGACCATTAAAATTTTATTTTTATTTACTTGTGGTATTATATTATATGTTATTAAAATATTTTATAAATAAATTAAAGATTGATCGAAAAAACATATAGCTTAAAAATTATCATTATTTTCCGCTACTACTGTATATTCCACCTGCTGGGCAAAAAATAATTTTACTAACTTCTTATCAATCATCGAATTGTATAAGTGATACAGGCAAATTATTTATATCATTTTAGTATGTAAAATAGCCAAAAGGCACTGTGTTGAAATTGGAGGATGGGACAGAAATCATGGTAGTTTAACTAACTGATTCTAACTATTACTTTCGACTGAATATTAGCATTATGTATCTTAATTATATTTAGCTAAATATAACTTATACTTTATTTTTTTGTGAAATAAATAGCTATATTATGATCTAATCTGCATACATGATTGCCTAGTAAAATTGGCTATGTATCACCTGCTGAATTTTCTAGATCAGTCCTTAACCCAAATCCCAAATATTATCTTAATAAAATAATATATTGTTTAGCTATGCGAAACGCCTTATGACTAATCCATGTAAGTATGTGCAACATAAATTTCTGATCCATCTAATGAAATGTACTATCTGCAGGTTTATGCAGAATAAAAATTATGATTTGCTTATTCTAGATTAGTTCCTGAGTAATGTAATGCTAATTACACTAAATAGCAATATGCTGTGAATCAGTGTATAAAATTTAGACCAAAAGTCATGTGCACAAGTTGTACTAAAAATAGAAAATTAATGCATGTATTATATAGTATTTCCATTTTTATAAATAATTTATCCATTTTTATATATAATTTATCTATTTTAGTAATTATTTGTGCACATTTTATGCTGTATAATATGTGCACACAAAAATTTAATGTGCATATGTGCACATTGTGCACATGAATTTTACACACTGCTGTGAATAATACTTGCATTATTACAAAATATAAATATACACGTCTTTTGACTCTAACATGTCTCTTCTTATTTATCTCATTTTTATAAAAAGGCTATAAATCATGAAGGGTAAGTTCCGTTATACATATTCTCTTGTGAAGTGCCTTAATAGCTATTATTGGATTTTCTACTACTAATAAGCTAATAAAATATGTTCACTTCTACAACTTTTTCAAACTGCTCCACGTTGGCCGAAAACTGGGACACTTAAACTCTCATTAATTTCTTACGCGACCTGAACATAAATCTCGATGAGGATGATTTCAAGATCCTTTATAAAGAGAAAATAGACAGTCAAACTTTCTAGACATGACCGAAAAAAAGTTTATAAAAGATGGTATGAAACGGAGACCTGCTATGAAGCTTAAAAAACAAGCTAAAATATTTAGAGAGAAATCAAAAGCCTTTGAAAAAAGCAAAATCGAATATTTTGGCTCTTTTTGTGTAGAGTATGATCTCTTTAGCATTTCATATTCTGATCAACTAATATGTTTGGACCTACTGAAAGAAATGAGACACATATAGTTTTTTACAATACGTTATATATTTTTTGTGATGATCTGATAGTCTCGCAGAAGATTCACGAAGTTGTTAGAAATCTCTTACTTAAGAAGAAGGTATGTATTTCTATTTTGCAAGCCCAAATACACATTTTTTCAGATATGTTATGTTAGGTATAAGAAGCTTTCGCTTGGGGATATATAAGCCCTCAGTTATTGCAATGCTTTAGCATATTCAATCTGTTAGATGTTATGAGATTATTTGACGATACTTTTTGTTAAAGGTCTACTGTTCCTAGAGGAGGATTTAGTTATGTACCTTTCTTTTAATAAAAGTATACTGAGTAATATTTTGTGTTTAGGTAGATAGGATTCATATAGGAACTATCCCATATGGTCGTTACTTCTAGTATCACCATTCTAAAAAATATTATTTTTTTATTTCATTATCCCTTAATAATGATACTTATTATTGAGAGGTTTATTTTAATATAGGTTAGTGAAAAAAAGGTCACAAACCTTTAGCCAATACTTCTAACCTGCAAGAAGAGATAATAGCGAAGCCAGCTTTCTCAAAGTTAGATTCATTAGTTTCTTCCACCCCTTTCGCTAAAAAACGAAGTATTAGTAAAATTTTAGATGTTTTTGCAGATATCCTATTGCGGGATGATAGTTCTATAAATATTTTGAAGATTTTAAAGACTGCAGTATGTGATTTCGATCAAGGTATAATAGCATTAGGATCCTTCTACTCATATAAAAGTTCCAATCATTTGTATGTGAATTCTGAACATTATATCAAAGTTTCTAAGAAAAGTACATATAATGCTGAAATATACCAGGTTCTAGTGAATTGGTTAAGGAAGATCTATGGATATGAGATCACTGGTCAGTGGCATCTTAAACAAGTTTATGATGATGAGAACTATTATTATCTTTATTGTGACCTGACTATAAAGAAGCCAAATAGTCCTAATCTAGAAGTTCTTCTTGAACTATTGGTAACGGCATTAATTTTCAAACTAAACAGCTATTTTGAACAAGTATTTAAATATGAAGAGCAATTCCATCCCTGAGAGATCTAGATCATACACTTTTCTGATGAAAATTATATTGTAACCAATCTGTATTGGCCATGTGAAAAACTCTAAGAGAAAGAATTAAATGTCGTCCATTTTTAGCATGATAGGGAATTTAAAAATGTGAGAATGAGTGAATTTCAGGATACCACTGGCAAGTTCTGTGAAATTATAGATGAGCCTATTCTTTAGCTTTAGCGTCTAGTTCAAAGAATCCCTCTGGCTCAGCTATCGATGTACTATTATTATTTGTATTATAATAAAACTGGTCCTGGTAGTCGATTTCACAAATATACATTTGCATGTATCAAATAATAAATTTTTTTTAGCAAATTTCTAGGACCGCGCTTTCTCAATCACAGATATTAGAATGATCTTCTGTAGTATTTCTTTAAGCAAACAAGGGATCTTCTGGTGACTATCCTTCGAGAGCCTAACCAATTCCTACTAGATATGATGCAATCCGCAATATAGGTACATACCATTATAATCTATAGATGAATTTTGCATGCAAAGTTTTTTTTCGCAAAACTATATCTAATAAAATGTTCCATTCTGACTATAAACATATTACTGATAGACTACCTAAAAGTCTTGTTAAGAGAATGTATGAGTGACTCTTGCATCATTCTAAAGATTCTATTCCATTAGAATCTATTTCCAGAAAGTCTAAATGAATTGAATCTTATTTGAGACACACATTAGAGGTTTATGAGAATTCATTAAATAGGAAGAAATGTAAAACTATAACCCAGGAAAAAATATTGCGTCCTCGAAGCTGATCAGAATGTAATGTATTTTCAGTAATACTGGCTATATATGTTGCAGATATTGGAACCTAAACCAATAATACTACTCAACTGGAGGCGCTAAAGCATGATCATGAAGAAGAGAATAATCGTCAGGTAGTGAATGAGTTTAAAGTATTGACCTAACATCTGCTTGATTATAATAGACAAACTTTTGAGAAATTTATACTAAATATAGAAAAGGAATATAGAGAGCAGGTTACTGCAAATAAAAGATTACGATGTGAAATTGAGGATCTGAAGATGCAGGTGCAAGAAGTAGAAAAAGAGTTGGCATCCATGAAGTCAGATTCTACTCATTAGCCAGAATACTTTTTTCTTTATACTTTTACAAAGTAAGATCCTGGTCAAGATCACGCGCTTTTTGAGGATCTATATAAATTGATTCAAGGGATTCTCCTATTTTCTTTTATAATCATGAAAAAAGAATGCCTTTCTGCAGACCCCACCTAAGGCAAAGAAGAATATGTAAAGAACATAAAGCTAAGCTAGAAGAGGAGAACTATCATCTTCATAGTGAATTGCAGACAGAAGTTGATACTAATCACTAGAATAAGAAATGAATTAATCAGCTAAAATAGGATTATACCTGATGTGAACAGGAAATTCAAGACCTTAATAGGGAAATAGAGCGTCTTGAGAATTCTTCAGAAGAGGAAATAGCAGAGCTAAAATCTGAAATTTTCAGTCTAAAAAATAAGCTATATTAGGTTAAAAAGAATATGTAATATAAGAAAAAATATATATCTACCTTAGAAAATCGGTTAGTAGAATCCAAAGAGCAGGTGAAAAAATTGCAATGCTGGATCAAGACTATCTCATCACGAAAAATTCGCCAGAACAAAGGAATTCTTCAGATTTGTATAATTCAAATGATAATATGGCCACAAATATAGAGCTAACGAATGCCATAGATGGTTTTATGGATAATCTAACAACAGCTAGAGCAATTATGGCTGACCAAGTAAAAAGGGCTACAAGGCAGATTCGAAGAAAAGAAACTACCTTACAGCAGGATTTAATTTGAGAGCAGAGAAGGCGTTATGATACAGAAGCTAAACGTAATAATGAAATTATTAGAAGGCAACTTGCTGAAGAAGCAATAGATAGGGTTATTAGTAATCTTTAGCAATTGCGGGCTAATGTTCAAAGTCAAGTAAATAGAATGTTAGGTAATATAACAGGAAAGTAAATCTGTATTGGTGTATTACTACAGGAAAAGTTTGCCTTACAGTTACTCTATCAACGAAACGCTCATCACCTACAGTGAAGTAGAGGGGATATAGATTTATTAGAGTATAATTGTGATAGGCTTTATGAGTGATATGAGAATGAAAGGCTAAAGAAAAAAATTCTCGCCAAATTATTTTAACGCTACAGAATAATCCACTCTAAATATGGCTAAGGCTAGACATTTATCAGTATTAAAATTAATGGCTCCTGCTCTTGCAAAATTTCAACCCTACATAGGTCAAGAACCACCTGATGATTATATGGATAAGGTTATTCAATCTTAGGCATATCTTAAAAGGCATATGATAGTTCTTGAGAATGCAAATGCAGGAGATTTTGACAATACGGTCAAGTGTAATATTTTAAAATCCATGATAGGTAGAAAATATGCTTCAGTATCAATAAATAATGGTCTTGTAGCAGAAAATCTGGCTATAAATTCTTCAGATACATTACGAGTTTAGTTGAGAGCAAAATACCAGCGAGAGACTGTTAGAAATCAACAATTGGCTATTCAAAGATTGACTTAAAAAAGGTATCAGCCCTATAATACTCCCAATACCTATGAAGTCAGAATTCGACCACTATTATTAGGAGTAGCAGATAATGATATGCAAGTTCTAAGGTTTCTTAAAAACCATTTAATAAGTAATTTTTATACTTGAATGATAATCGCTAATCCTAAAGGCATTAATGCATTTTTTACTGAGCTAAAAAATATGTAATTAGAGCGTGAACAAAATTTGAGTGGAGAGAAATCAAGTCAAATTGCTAATCAAGTGCAAGCCTTACCTAGTATAAATCCAATATCTTATTCTTTACCAGTTTCTCAATCAGCTTTTACTAAAAATGATATGCAAAATGCGATTCAAAAAGCAATAGCTTAGCAAAAAACTGAATATCAGTTTTTATTAAAAAAACAAAAAGTTAATTTTTAGTTACAAATGATCAAGCAAGTACCTGCTCCACAAACTGTTGAACCTATTAGACAGCCAAGAAGTCCACTATTTTTATTAAAAACAGAGGAAGGTCTTAAGAATTATTATGTAGCTGAATACTTAAAAGAAGTAGGTCTACTTAATAAGAAAGATTTAGACTCAGATTATCTTGTAAAACCTTTTCAAAGACTTTGTTCATAGCGAAATAATAATTCTGCTAGATTTGATAGGATTGAAGAAGGATTTGAAGAAACTCAGAATAATGTAAATCAATTAGCTGACCTATTTCAGAAAAAATATACATACGAAAATGTGGAATTTGTAGAAAAATGAGCTATAGTAAAGGAAGTTGTCCAAATAGACTGATAGCTCAATCTAATTTCACTCAGTCATATTTTATGCCTCTTAAACCAATAGTTTCTCCTAATTCAGATGATGAGAAAAATGATGAGGATGGTTATGATGATAATAATAATAGATAGACTAGATATGATCCACTAGTAAAAAAAACAAATAAATGATAAGTTGGCCAGTGATACTAATGTAATCTCACCTCTAGAATCTAGCTAACCTGAAACATATGATTAGCTATTATCTAAGCTCTCACTACCGATATGAAAAATGTGCTTATCTCAAAAGGCTCAGGAGGAGGAATCGAAAGAATCAGATGAGTGGTTGTCATCTTTACAATATCTGAATACTAATATAAATAACTTAACTATTTCTGAATCTTTTTTAGATACCAGCAATGAGTTAGGTGGTTTAAATGATCTAGCAATCAAGACGCTTGGATGGAAAGCTGATAAACTATCTAATTTTACCATAAAGGACAATTCTAAGCATATTACCAATTCATTGGAATGGTATACAGATATATCAGTTACCTTGAAGGATAAAGAAAATAAGACAGTTACAGTTATTGGAAATTTTGTTCGTATTGATAATGATAAAATAGAACTAATGCTATTTTTTGGTATGTTAAATATTCGAAAGCTTCAAGGTGTTCCTGAGCCAAATAAAAACCAGTTTCACATAAAGTTACATAGAAAGGTATATATTATCCTAACTTTTAGCAAGGCTCCAGTAGTCAAGAATCCACCAAAAGAAGATCAGAACCAAGCATCTACCAACTTCTCTAGCTTAAATAGTGAGAAAGACTTAAAAAAAATGTGTAAAGCTTGAAGAGCAACTATTAAAAACTGAAAGATGGCTTGATATAGCATTAAATGCAGGTAATATTTTTGCAGAAAAATGCTTACGACTTATGAAAAATAGATCAGATGTATGATAGCTTCTCTAGTAATATTTACTAATTTATTAAGATCAAATTCCCGTCTAGATGTATCATCTTTAAAAGAATTAGCTACTTTATCTGCAGAAGAAAATTTGTTTTTTGGCTTTATACTAGCCTTTTTTTTCTAACTAACTTTATCTTTTCGCCTACTAGTTACTATATTCAGACCATTAGAATTTGCATTATTCTCATTATTCATAGGGTATTCTGTATAAGTGATCCTGTCTTCTTGTATGATAGTAGAGGAGGAAGTATTATGTGAAGATTCCTGATTATTTTCTGAAATCTGATCAGAGATGCTAATAGATTCTATGATTCTACGCTATTCCTCAGTAGGTTCAGAGGGTCTCTGATTATCAATTATTTTTTGATATATTGTTGATCCTATATGATGTTTTTTACACATAATGCATTGAACATCTAAAATATTGTTCTAAGCATTTCTAATTTTTTTGATAGCTTCAGGTGACAAGCGTTTAGCATCTGATCTAAGAAATTTACGAGTATAGGCTGTTTGTTTTTTGCTTATAATTTGCTAGTAATAAATCTATATGATACTAATAAAAAACTTATAGAAAATTTATTTGATATTGTCTGATATTGGCTTAGTATTGGTTTAATATATATGCAATTCATTTTCTTTACAGTATAGTATGCTATAATTATGATTCAAATAAAAAATAGGTTTAGGATACATATGCTTAAAATATCAAACTAGTTCTTTATTAGTTTGATATTGGTTTGATTCTAAATTCTCTTTTTTTATATTCAAAGAAAAAAATCATAAAAAACTTTGCTTTCAAATAAATTTATATGGCAAATATACATATGCTAAATGAAATAAATAATGAAGCATCCTTGGTATCTGGTAATAAACTTGGAGATTTGCCATTTAATCATTACCCATTTAGCCAAACTGAGGTTGAGAACCAACATTTAAAACATGATCTAGATATTGCTATAAACTCAGGTATTCAGCTTGGCATTAGAAACAGTCTTTTGATAAAAAATAATAAAAGTTTTTCAGAGCGTGTATGCCAGCTTGAAGATGAGATAAGAGAACTCAAAAATAAGATTAATCAAAAAGAGATTTCTCTTGCAAGTGCTAAGAGCGAGATTACTATAAAATTGGAAGAGATACAAACTCTCCATTCAAGAGTAGAGGAATTAGAACAAGATGTTTCTTTAGCAGAAAAAAGA